ACAAATTTATATAATTTAACAGTGTTAATGGCTATCTTGATTTATATTATATGCAACTATTTGTTTCTAGCCGTACCTATTGTGTAATGGAGTGTATCTGGTGGTATTTGAATCTGTTCAACCATGAAGCTCTGTAGTCTAATGGATGACGCTCGCCTTGACAGCAAAAATAAATGAGAACAAAAGATTGGGTATGCTGACTCACCTACCAACTTTGAATAGCTACATTATTTCATTACTTCATGGTTTGTACTTTGATACTCGTGAATAATGACATCACAAATTCAACAATAATACTGTATGAATGTACTAAGTATTTGGAAAGAGACATGAATTACTTTACTAGTAGTTATTAAATATTATTATATTTGGAACATTTCTAGGTAAGTGTTAAAATTTAGAGAGGTAGGAAGTTGAGTAACTCTCTGGTGAAAGACATTTGTCAAATTGAATGTTTTAGCTTTAGGAAAAACATAGGTATGTACTGGTATTTGAACTGGGCATGGCCTATAAAACTGAAATCAAACATAATTGAATTTGAATTCCCAAACAAAGTCACAATGGCCTAGTCAGGCATATGTCTACAGCAGAAGGTCTAGGGTTAGAATGAATGAATCTGAATCAGTCAATATGTATGGTACATATTAGCCTTTCTCATTCAACAAGTCACATACTGCAAGCAGCTAGCACATTAGCAGTATAGAAAATAGAAGAAACTATTACACCATATGCTATCTTTTGCAGAGGTCTGCTGGTATGGCATCCCACACATTAAAAGGAAGCAAAGATGGACAAATTACCTGTCCAACACACTGCAGAAAGCTACTGGAATTTTACTGCCGAACATGCAAGAAATCAGCATGTAAACAATGTGAACATTTTATTAACTGTTTTCGAAATAAACATGATCTGATTGAAATGGAAGTGGCTGCAAATGAGATCAATGGAAAAGCTACTAAACTTATCAAGATAGCTGAGGAAATTAAAAGCAAATTGCAAGAAACATTTTATTACATCATAAATGATAGATCAAACTTTGACAATCACCTAAAATTATGTAGAAGAGCTATAGAACATCAGGAAGAGACACTTATCAAAACAATTCAGGAGAGAAGCAGAGCATTGATGGCAGATCTTGAGAAGAAATTCAGGAAAAAATTAAAAGACCATGATGATAAAATAAAAGTTCTTGAATCAAAGCAGGCTCAAGTAAACACTCTGGAGACAGCTATTAGTGCATTATTGAACAAACCAGAAGAAACAGAAAATCTTAAACACTATAAGAAAAGCATCAACACTCTTAGAGAAATCATTTCAAATGATGAATATTACACCACATTTTATTCCATCTGAACACTTGCAAGAGTTGATGAATACAGCTGTTGGTAAAATCACAACTGTTAATAGCATGAAATACAAGGTTGCTGATGAAGATAAAGTAATTACTGTCAAAACAGAACAACCATTTGTAGTGACTGTATCAAGTCTAGCAGAGTGTGATGCATGTTATTTAGCTGCCACTTTAAAGCACTCATCAGGTGAAGAATCACCCACTGAAATAGAATATCAGAGAGGTAGAGGGTACAAAATAACAGGTAGATGCCATGAGAAAGGTGACTGGCAGATGAAGATTACTGTTGCAGAGGCACACATCAAAGGATCACCAGTAAATATCAAGGTTGAAAAAACAGTGAGACTTGTTAATACCATTGACAATAAGAAATATACAAACACAAACAAAGTGACAGATGTAGTGTTAGATAAAAATGGATACATACTATTATCAAGCTATAGTAAATGCATATTAAAGTTTGACCAATCAGGTTCAATTGTTTCTGAGATAAATTGGGAGGCAGAGAAGGTACAGATCAACAGAATGCATCTAATGGATGATGGTCGCATGGTGTTCAGTAACGGCTTGCAAAAATGTGTTATAATGTATGATGCGAAATATAAAAAGATTCATTCTTTTTGGGGGGGAAAATTGAAATTTCCAGAGGGTTTGGCAGTTAACAAGGACACTAGAGTCCTATATGTAGCAGATCGTGAAGCTCATTGTGTGTTTAAATTTGATGTTGACAACTGTAAACTGCTGGGTAAGATAGGCTCAAAAGGTAGTGAAGAAGGTGAAATGAATAAACCACAAGATGTCACTTTAACTAAGGAAGGTCATGTGATTGTTGCTGACTGTCATAATTGCAGACTACAAATGTTTGATGTAAATGATAATTTCATCAGAACCCTTGTATGTTCTGGTAAGGAAGATGGTAAAGTTTGGGCTCCTTATGGTGTAACCATGGATATGGACGAAAATATAATAGTATCAAGTTGTCATAAACTACAACTATTTGATAAAGATGGTGCCTTCATAAAACGAATAGATCGTGAAGATGACGGATTACATAGCCCACTAGGAATCACTGTAATCTCCAATAGACCAAGAAGAGTAGCAGTAGCAAACTACGGACCAAATAATGTTAAAATCTTTAACTATTAAATTAAATTGAAATGCATGACCAGACAATGTATTTCTAAACAGTAGAAAAAACGATTTTATAGTTTTTACATGATCATATCATTTCATTTGATTTGTGAAAATATTTTATCGCATACACGATAAATCGTTATTGAATTGTGCTAGTGTGGAAACTTCTAGCATTTCATTTATTTTCTATATGAACAATTGCTTTTTAACTTTTTATCGTTATGGTCATAGTGAAAACAGGCCTTTAAAGTGAATATAAAAAACAAACATATAAATAAATAAGTTACTTCTCTTCTTAAATACAAAAAAAAGAGGAAACACAGAAAATTACTACCTTAAAAATTATTATTTTATATGTTTGGAAGACCAGGTCCTATTGGTTAGAGTATCACATTGTTGCAAAGTTGTTACATATTTTTCAATATTTTGATTTCAAACATGGCAATTGATATTGTGGTTTTACTTAATGGTATACGATGCGAATCCAAAATTGTTGTATTATTTGTGTATTTTCTATTTTTAGGCGTAACCACGTTTTTAATTTAATGGGCAATGCCTCCGACCGCCGGCTATGCAGTTCCACACTTTTTCCAGCCCTGTCTGGCCAGATATCAATGTATTACCAGTAACTGTAATACATTAAATACATCTACTAAATAATAATTGTATTATTAAAAAGGCTTATAGCTGTATTGTTTGTATTTTGATTTTGTTTCTTTTTTTGTTTTGCCATTTGCCTCAGTTGCCTTGATCTAAGTCTCACCAGCCACTGTCAGCAGATGCGGCATGATCTACATGGGACCTCACCAGCTTGGATTGCGCCCTCTTAAGACATCCTACATGGAGAATCTACTGATCTCTATCACAGATGAGCACAAACATTAATAAATGACTTATTCGAGTGGTTGATTGACCCATGTTGGGTTAGTTTATATTTTATCAGAGAATATGGTTTCTTAAGCCTCTCTTTGATTATCTGATTTGATTATTGCAGGTACCAGGATAATCTATTTCTTTGTTTCAGTTTATTGGTTTTGAAATATATTTTCTGTATGATAGTATAATAAACACTCCAAGCAATGAATGAAAGGTAAGTTAAACATAAGAAAGGAAAAGGAAAAAAAAATGAAATGGAATCATAAGAAAGGAAAAGAAAAGATAAGGAAACAAGAAAGATAATAGTAAGAATGATAAGGAACATAAGAAAGGAAAGGAGAGAAATGAATTTGGAATCATAAGAAGGTAAATGGAAAGAAAGATAAGAAATATAAGAAAGTAAAAGGAAAGAAAAGATAAACTAAGGATGAAAAGGGAAAGGAAAGATAAGGAAACATGAGAAGAGAAAAGAAAGGAAAGATAGACATGGAAACATTAGAAAGGAAAAGAAAAGAAATGATAAGAAATATAAGAATGAAATATGAAAGACAGATACAAATTATAAGAAAGAAAGTGAAAGGAAAGATAAGGAATCTAAGAAAGGAATGTGAAAAATAAGATAAGGAAACATAAGAAAGGACAAGAAAAGTAAAGATCAGGAACATTTGAAGGGAAAGGAAGAAAGACAAGAAGCAAAAGGGAAAGAAAAATGAAAGGATTTGGGATGAATAGGAAGTAACAGGCCTTGAAATGATTCCAATTACCAAAGCATTGTAATAATAACATTTATTGATAATCATCAAACCAATCATTTGAACTTAATTAAACTAAACTAAAACCAAATATTTGATAATATTCTTTTTGGTACATTTGCATTTGTTTTGTTTTGTTTTTTTTTTTCTTCTCTGTTGTTGTTAAGTGCCTCGAGGTTGTGTCAATAATAATAATCCAGAATTATTATTATTATTATTATAAATACACGCCATTGTGTCAGGATTCAATATTTAAACATTTGTTATATCATCATCAGGAATGAAAATTATGTTCAAAGAGCGAGCTTTTTATTTTCTGTATATCACCCAACTTTCAACAACTGATACACTACACACAATGTAAAATATTTGTTCTGTATTAGCAGCTTCTAGCCCAGTCTACCCTATCAAGTATTACATCAGACCCATATATGGGTGAATCACTGGTACCTGCATTTACAAAGAAAACATGGTAGTGTATATGTATAATTTAAATAGAATTTTTTGAATTCTTTTAAATTTCATTGCATGCACATAATATTTATCATTATATATAAAAAAAATAAATAAAATAATATAATAGAGATAATAATAAACATTTAAATTTTTGGTTTATTAGTAACAAAATAATATGTTTTGATACCATGACAGAATATAACTACACTACATGGGAAAATAAAAATTACAGACAACTAAGCACAACTTCTAAATTTGGCCTCATGTAAATATGAGAACAAAAGATTTGGTGTGCTGGTCTACTAACTTTGAATAGCTACATATTTCATGCTTACTTCATGCTTACTTCATGCTTTGCACTTGATAGTAGTGTCTATTAATACCACAGATACAGTATGAGTACAATTTTAAGTTTTTGGGAAGAGACATCGTGAATTATTTACTAGTATTTTCAAATCATTATCATATTTGGAACAATTCTAGGTAAGTGTTGAAATTAGAAGAGGTAAACTGCACCTTAGTGGGTGAGAGACATGTATCAAATTGAAAATTTTAGCATTAGGAAAACATAAGTATGTATTTGAAGTTGAACTGGGCGAGGCCTATAAAACTTGGGAGATCGTAGTGAAAAAGGTTGTCTTATAATCCAAATATTTAAATTCATTTAACTTTTTTTCAAATATTTCATACAAAAATTGCAACAAAATGACTTGGGGGGCATATTTAAGCTGAATGTATGCTGAAGTGTACCTCCAAATCAACGACAATTCCCTTAGTCAGTGGTGCTCTTGAATTACTGTGTTTTTAAAAATCAGCCTAGACAGCTTCTCAAAACGTTTCAGATTTTTAGCCTACTGGTACATGGAAAAGTTAATCAAATCTACATTAATCTGATGAATCTGTGAATCATTCAAAATGTATACAATTGTAAGCTTTCAGAAATAGACTTTCACATTCAACATGTCATTTTGCAGGCAGCACATTAGCACTATAGAAAATATAAGAAACTAATACACCATGCTACATTTTATATTTTACAGATATCTGTAAAATACACGATGCTACATTTTACAGATGTCTGTAAAATGTAGCACTATAGAAATTATAAGAAACTAATACACCATGCTACATTTTACAGATGTCTGTAAAATGTAGCACTATAGAAAATATAAGAAACTAATACACCATGCTACATTTTGCAGATGTCTGTAAAATGTAGCACTATAGAAAATATAAGAAACTAATACACCATGCTACATTTTATATTTTACAGATATCTGTAAAATACACCATGCTACATTTTACAGATGTCTGTAAAATGTAGCACTATAGAAAATATAAGAAACTAATACACCATGCTACATTTTATAGATGTCTGCTGACAAGGCACTGCACACATTAGAAGGAAGCAAAGATGGACAAATTACCTGTCCAACCCACTGCAGCATGGTACTAGAATTTTACTGCTCAACTTGCAAGAAATCAGCATGTAAACAGTGTGAACATGTTTTTAACTGTTTTAAAAATCATGAAGTGACTGAAATGAAAGTAGCTGTAGATAAGTTTAACCAAAATGCTATTAAACTTATCCAGACAACTGAGGAAATTAAAAACAAATTGCAAGAAACATTTGATTCAATCATTAAAGATAGATTGAACTTTGACACACATCTAAAATTATGTAGGAAAGCTATAGAGGATCAAAAAGAGACAATAATTAAGAAAATTCGGGAGAGAACCGAAGCATTGATGGCAGATCTTATAGAGGGACACAAAGCAAAGATAGAAGATCATGACACTAAAATAAAATTTCTTGAATCGAAGCGGACACAAGTACATAGTCTGAAGACAGCTATTCATGCAATAATGAACAAACCAGAAGAGACTGAAAACCTTGAACACCATAAGACAACTATCAACACCATTAGAGACCAGGTCTTAGGAACCGATTTTGATAAATCAGTTCAAATAATGAATATTACACCAAATTTTATTCCATCTAAACACTTGGATAAGTTGATAAATACAGAGGGCATTGGTAGAATTACAAATGTTGATAGCATGATGTACAAGGTTGATAAAGATGATGAAGCAATTACTGTAATAAAAGGAGACCCATTTGTAGTCGAAGTATCAAGTCTAGCTGGCAGTAATGCATGTAAATTAGCTGCCACTTTGAAGAACTTAATATCAGGTAAAGAATTACCTACTGGGGTAGAATATGGAACAAATGGAAAGTACAAAATAACAGGTAGATGCAATGTGGAAGGTGACTGGCAGATGAAGATCACTGTTGGAGGGACACACATCAAAGGATCACCAGTGACTATCAAGGCGGAAAGACTGGGACTTGTACACACCATTGATAATAAGGAACACACAAACACAAATACAGTGATAGATGTAGTGTTAGATACAGATGGATGCATGTTATTATTAAGCGGCAGTGAATATATATTAAAGTTCAACCAATCAGGTTTATTTATTGAAAAGATAGAGTGGCCAAAGTATGCAAAGATCAATAGAATGCATCTAATGAGTAATGGTCACATGGTGTACAGTGATGGCTACAGAAAATGTGTTGTAATGTGTGATGCTAAATTTAAAAAGATCCGTTCATTTGGAAAAAAACAATTGAAATATCCAGAAGGTTCGACAGTTAATGAAGAAACTAGAGTCTTGTATGTAGTAGATCGAGAATCTCACTGTGTGTGTAAATTCAATGTTGATAATGGTAAACTACTGGGTAAGATAGGTTCAGAAGGCAGTAAAGTAGGTCAAATGAATAGACCAGAAGGTGTCACTTTAACTAAGGAAGGTCATGTGATTGTTGCTGACTGTCAGAATTGCAGAATACAAATGTTTGATGTAAATGATAAATTTATGAGAACCCTTGTAGGCTCTGGTGAGGAAGATGGTAAAGTTTGGTATCCTTTTGGTGTAACCATGGATATGGATGAAAATATAATAATATCAAGTATTAATAAACTACAATTATTTAACAAAAATGGTGTCTTCATAAAACGAATTGATCATCAAGATGATGGATTAAATGGCCCACTAGGAATCACGGTAATTGCCAATAAAACAAGAAGAGTAGCTGTAGCAAACAACAGACAAAATAATGTTAAAGTATTTAACTATTAAATGCATATTAAATG